TTTTTTAGTACAGAACTTGCTAAGGCCATCAAGCCTATCGACGGGAAGTCAGTCCATCAAATCTGTTCTGGGCAGGTGGTACTGAGTTTAAGCACTGCTGTGAAGGAGTTGGTAGAAAATAGTGTGGATGCTGGTGCCACTAGTATTGGTAAGTTAGGAGGAAACTTTTAAGCAACAAGAAATAATCATGCTGTTTATTTAAGAAACATTACTAAATTGTTAATAAAACAGTCAAATATTGTCATACCTATAATAACTATTATTATTTATATTATTTGTTTATATTTGTATTATTAATTATATTTTTAGAGTCACTAGCCAGCTGGCTTGGCTTGCTGTGTAGACCAGGCTGGCCTTGATCTCACAGAGATCTGCCTGCCTCTGCCTCCTGAGTGCTGGGATTAAAGGTGTGAGCCACCATGCCTGGCCCAATTATTTTTATTTTTTTTTATTTTTTTAAATTTTAAAGTTGGCACTTATTATATCAGAGACTGTTCTGAGGAGGTGTAGCACATGCATCTACTCACTTCAGAAAGGGAACCCACAAGAGACCAAAGTCATGATTGTACCAAAGTCCAGCTTGGTGAGCCAGTGAGTTTTTAATTGAAGTTGCTAGCAGGGGATGACTCAAAAGCACCTGCACCACAGCAGAGCCCATCCCCCCTCAGGTGATGACCTATGATAGCTGCATCCCTGGAACTGTCTTCAAGCCTTGTAGGTAGGCAGTGCCACAGCTTGAGAATCTCCGCTACTGAGCTGGTCAGAATCCCTCCTCCATGCCCCCCCATCCCCACCCCAGTTGTTTACTGCTTGTATAAAGCTGGGGAGGGGTCTTTGAGACTCTTGGAAGTTTCAGCTTTCCTAGACATGTGACATTTATTTATCTCTGGAGTTTTATGAGCCCTACCCCTTCCCTCTTGCAGGGATTGTTTCAATTCAGAGAAAACTACTTGTATAACAGTGTATACCTAGTATTTTTTTGGTCTTTTTGAGACAGGGTCTCCTTATAGCCACAGCTGGCCTGGATTCACTATGGAGACCAGGCTGGCCTCGAATTCACAGAGATCCACCTGCCTCTGCCTCCTGAGTGCTGTGATTAAAGGCATGCACCACCATGCCTAGCTGTGTACCTAGGATTTAGCTAGATAGTAAGAATAATAATGTTAGTTAGCTTTACGTATGTTTAGGCAGTGTGCTAAGAACTATACATGGACTATCTTAATGTGGGATAATTAATTATGATTTGGGAGTTATTATTTCTGTTATATAGATGAGGAAATTGAGGCACAGGGAATTTATGTTGTTTGAGGCTATAAAGGTAGTTTAATATGCATCAAGAAGCCTGATTCTGGAACCATAGAAAATTCTTTTAAAAAACTATTTATTTGGGTTTGTAAATAGTTCATAAGGACTTTTAAAAATAAAATATACAGGGCTAGGGTTGTGCTTCAGTGGTAAGAGTCCTTGCCTTGCTGGGTATGATTCAGTACTACACACACGCACACACACACACACACACACACACACACACACACACACACACACTGAAGTATATAGAATAACTATAGTATATTTAAGTAAAAGTTACAGATATAGCTGCTAAATTTGCATTATATGTTAACAAATTTTGTCCTGTCAATGTAAAAGTTTTTAGCATGGATCAATCTTTGAGAAATAACCATTGAACTTTTTAGAGCTCAGGCTTAAAGACTATGGGGCGGATCTCATTGAAGTTTCAGACAATGGATGTGGGGTAGAAGAAGAAAACTTTGAAGGCCTAGGTAAGTTAGATGTTTCTAATCAGAAAATAATTGTTTCCATGGGTCTGGGACTTTTGAGTAACACTGTCTTAGAGCACATATTGTGATAGGTATTGTGTGTGTGTGTTCCTTGCTCTGTCACTTGACATCTTGGGCCTTACTTTCTGTTCTCTTTCAGCTCTGAAGCATCACACCTCTAAGATTCAAGAGTTTGCAGACCTCACGCAGGTTGAAACTTTTGGTTTTCGGGGGGAAGCTCTGAGCTCGCTATGTGCACTGAGGTGATACAATATGTTCATCAATTTTATGCCTTATAAAAACTTTCCTGAATTTAGAAGTATGATTAGAATTCTTGATTGCACTTTACTGTTGGAGTGTCTCCAGTCTAACTTAGAATTCTCTTTTATCTTACTGCCTGGTCTACATAACTAAGTGATAACTAACTGGTCTACATTATCTATGTGATAACCCTCCCAAAATAGGAGAAACAGAGGAATGAAATGAAACAAACAGCATTGTGAAAAAAAAAGTCATTGCCTATCTTAAAGCAGTCATTTATTAATTTTAAAAAATATTTTATTTTTTATGTGTTCGAGTGTATTGCCTGCATGTATGTGAGTGCACCCGTGTCATGCAATGCCACGGAGGTCAGAAGAGGGCTTCAGATTCCCCTGGAACTGGAGTTAAGGACGGTTCATAGCCACCATGTGGGTGCTGGGAATCGAACCTGGGTCCTCTGCAAGAGCAGTCAGTGCTCTTAACCACTGAGCCATCTCTCCAGCCCCCATTTATTAATTTTAATGTATCACAGAGTATAACCTAGGGGCATAGTGCTTGCGTATAGTATTCCTGGGATCAATTATCAGCACTGCAAAAATAAAGTAGTGCATAGATGATAAATTATAAGTACCATTAGTTTTAGTTTATTTTCAGTTTTTAGGAAAAGATTTAACCAAAGCCCCTATTTAAGTATAGTGAAGCTTCTAAATTTTTTTTTTAGACATGGTCTCCCTGTGCCCCCTAGCTGGCCTAGAACTTGTTATGTTGTTATAGATTGGTTGTAGACCAGGCTGTCCTGGATCTCACAGAGATTCACCTGCCTCTGCCTCCCAAGTGCTGGGATTAAAGGTGTGTACTACCGTGCCCAACCCTAATTTCTCAATTTTTTATAATTGTTTATATATTTGAATTATGTCTTTTGAATACTTTACAAATTTTTTGTTAGAACAGTAGTAACAAAATTGAAATATCTAGGAAATAGGGGCAGCCAGATTCTGTGAGTTGGAAGCCAGCCAGGCTACATAATGAGACTGTGTCTCAAAAAATATATAGAGAAAAATAAATCTTTGTGATTAAATAAAATTTGAGATCATTTCTTCTTTGCAGTTCAAACTTTAAAAGTTAATGAAAGCTTTTATCAAAACAAAGCATTTAGAGAATTCTGTCTTACCATCTGTTACAGGCAAAAACTTAAATTTCATGATGACTTTTACCCATTTAAAACTATCTTAATTCTTTTAGAAGGCACTTTTGCGGGAAGGTTCTACAAGAAAGGAAAATTAAAAAAAAGTATTCCATGTCCAACCATTGTGAGTTGCTTAGAAGTCCTGGCCAACCCGGCCCCTACAATGCTGGGTATTAAACTAAGGGCATTGCAAGTGCTAGGCTAGTGCTTTGCTTCTGAGCTACATCCCCAGCAGCCCTTGTGAGTTTCTAACTGGACATGCTGTCCCTCATGTTCTCTTGCAGTGATGTGACTATTTCTACCTGCCACACATCTGCAAGTGTTGGGACTCGACTGGTGTTTGACCACAATGGGAAAATCATCCAGAAAACTCCCTACCCTCGACCCAAAGGAACAACAGTCTGCGTACAGCACTTATTTTATACACTGCCTGTGCGTCATAAGGAATTTCAAAGGAATATTAAAAAGGTAAGGTAAATTCACAATCCCAGTCTTCAAGGTTTTAATAGCATAATGTATATGACTAAAAAACTTATCAAAGATGTTGCTTTTCAGTTGATTTTCTTCTCTTAGTTGAAAAATTTAAAGAAAAAAAATTTTTGAAACAGTTTCACTGTGTAGTCCAGGCTGGCCTTGAACTTGCAAACCTTCTGTCTGTACCTCTTGAGTGCTTGATTGTAGGTGTGTCCACCATGCCCAGCTGTTGACTTGATTTTTTTATATATTTTTTTTTATTTGAGAATTTCATGCATGTATACAATGTATTTCTTTTAATTTTATTTATTATTTTTATTTTACGTGTATACATGTGTTGCCTGCATGTAGGTAAGTGCACCCGTGTCGTGCAATGCCTGAGGAGGTCAGAAGAGGCTGTCAGATCCCCTAGGACTCAACAAGTTATGGACAGTTGTTAGCTGCCATATGGGTGCTGGGATTCGAACCTAGGTCTTCTGTAAGAACAACAGTATTCTTAACCACTGAGCCATCCCTCCAACCCCGTACAATGTATTTTGGTCATATTCACCCCTCCTTCTCCCTCTAACTCTTCCAGGATCTACCCGCCCCCTACTCTCAGCCAACTTCATGTCTTCATTTTGGTTTTTTTTTTTTTTAAGAAAAAATTATTTCCTTTTTAATTGTGTGTGTGTGTGTGTCCATGTGTGTGTATATGCCTATGTATAGGTATGTACATGTGAATGCAGTGCCCACAGAAGCCAGAATTGGGTATCAGCTCCCCTGGAGCTGGAGTTACAGGTGATTGTGAGCCAGCTGACATGGGTACTAGGACCTGAACCCAGCTAGCCTGGAACTTGATACGTAGACCAGGGTGATCTTGAGCTCACAGAGATTCGCCTGCCTCTGCTTCCCAAGTGCTGTGATTAAAGGCATGTGCCACCACACCCAGCCAATAGAGTAGTATTCATTCTTAACTGTTGAGCTATCTGTCTAACCCTGACCATGAACTGCTGCTCATCCTGTCTAAGCCTCCTGAAACACCATAATTTAATTAGTTCCTTGCTAATGGTTGCTTATGTTGTTTTTAATTTTTCAAAGTTACTTATTATTTCAACAACCTTTTTTGTATTTAACTTTTAGTAATTTTTTTTTTGAGATAGTATCTCACACTGTAACATAGGCTGACCTGAAACTCACTATGTAGTCCAGGCTGACCTCAAACTCAAGACAGTCTTCCTGCCTTAGCCACCTGAGTGCTGGGATTACAGGTATAGGCTGCCATGCCCAGCTAATGAATATTTTTGTAGTATATCTATGCTAGTCTTTATACAAGGATAAAATTTCTTTTTAAAAAAAAAAAGTGAAGGGACCAGGATGGTAACACATATCTATATAATTCCAGGACTCAGGAGGCATGGACAGGAAAAGCTCAAATTATAGGCTATATTAGGTTACACAGGAAGATCACATCTCAAAAAAAGAGAATAAGGTCCTGGCCATCCAGGCCTTGATGTTGGACCTCTCCCACTTCCAGGCACCAAAAGGTTTTCCATCACTTTTCTGTTACTCTCTTACGGCCCCAGTGCACCTTTACCTGTGCCCTACCAAAAATGTAAATCACCTAATTGAACTTCTAGAAATAAAAATAAGTCTGAGGAGTTTAAAAAAAAAAAAACAAACTGGTAAACTATTATAATTCTCAAACTAAAAATATGTAATTGTATTTAAGAATGTAACTTCTCGGGGCTGGAAAGATGGCTCAGCAGTTAAGAGTACTGACTGCTCTTGCAGAGGACCCAGGTTTGATTCCCAGCACCCACATGGCAGCTACGAACTGTCCTTAACTCCAGTTCCAGGGAAATCCGAAGCTCTCTTCTGACCTCCACGTCATTGCATGACATAGGTGCACTCACATACATGTAGGCAATACATTCATACACATAAAAATATTTTAAAAACTAGGTGGAAGTTGGAGGTGGTGGTGCATGCCCTTGCTCCCAGCATTTGGGAGGCGGAGGCAGGCAGATCTCTGTGAGTTCAAGGCCAGCTGGGGCTACAGGAAGACCCTGTATCAAAAAGAAAAAAAATAAAAGTAATGCTAATAACAAACTTTAAAATTTTAAAAATTGGGCCTGGAGAGATGGCTCAGCAGTTAATAGCACTGGCTGCTCTTGCAGAGAACCTGGGTTCAGTGTCTAGCAACCACATGGCAGCTAACAACCATCCACAACTCCAGTTCCAGGGACTCTGATGTCCTCTTCTAACCTCTCCATGGGCATTGCATGACACAGGTGCACTCACATACATGCAAACAATACACTCATATACATAAAATAAAAAATAATAAAAAAAATGAAAAGAATTTTAAAATTTCAATAAATTTTTTTAAAAGAAATAAGAATAAATTTCTAAATGAAGCATTACAAATTCAAAGGATATGCACTTACTTTGATTTGATTTTTGAGATGGGGGGGTCTCACTTTGTAGCCCAGGCTGGCCTAAGCCTTATGATCCTCCTGCCTAGACCTCTGGTATGCTGGGATTATAGACATGGTCCACCATACCTGACTTGGACATATCCTTTATATGGGAGGGAGTATGTGTGCATGTGGAGGCAAGAGGTCAACATCTAGTGTCCTCTATCACTCTCCACCTTATTTTTGGAGTCAAGATCTCAGTAAATCTGGAGTTCACTAATTCCACTAGACTGGCTGCCTAGCAAGTCTTGGGGATCCTCCTGTCTCCACCTTCTCAGTGCTGAGATTATGGGTATGTGCCTGCACACCCTGCTCTTTTCATGGGTGCTGGGGATTATACTCAGGTCCTCGTGCAAGCACTTTATTACCTGACCATCCCTCCAGACAGGCCTGGAACATGGTTTTTGGAGTTAATAACAGTGAGCATGAAGGTCCTGCAAATGAGAGGACAGTGGCTGGAGCTGAAGCCTGCGTTTCACTTCACAGCATGTGTGGAGGTGATTCTACATATATCCTCTGCCAGTAATTCCTGCCCTTGTTTTCAAGATAAGCAGAATGTTGAGCTGGATGTTGTGACTTCAGCAATTCCTGTAAGATTAAAGTAATTTTGAGTCTTGTGTTTGTGTTTTTCAAACAGGAATATGCCAGAATGATCCAGGTCTTACAGGCATACTGTATCATTTCATCAGGCGTCCGTGTAAGCTGCACCAATCAGCTTGGACAAGGAAAACGGCAGCCTGTGGTATGCACAAGCGGAAGCTCCAGCATAAAGGAAAATATTGGCTCTGTGTTTGGGCAGAAGCAGGTAGGGGCTGGTCAGTTACTGAAAAACTTTTTTTTTTATTATTATTTTTATTTTATGTGTATGAGTGTATTGCCTGAATGTAGGTGAGTGCACCCGTGTTGTGCAATGCCCATGGAGGACAGAGGAGGCTGTTGGAGCCCCTGCAACGGGAGTTATGGACAGTTGTTAGCTGCCATGTGGGTGCTGGGATTTGAACCCTGGTCTTCTGCAAGAACAGTCAGTGTTCTTAACCACTGAGCCATCTCTCCAGCCCCCTGAAAAACGTTTTATTGCTCTAGTGATCACAGCAGGTTTCATTGTTCCGTAGAGATTAAAACCAAAGAAGAGAACTCTTATGTACCCTATCTCTAAAGTTACTGCATGAGCTGAAGGTTTTTTATTTATTCTCTTAGAGACTGAAATACCGTATCCTTTAATTCTCTCTCTGAAAAACTGTCATAAAGTAGGTGCTTAAGCAATTCATTTTTCTAGTAAACAGATTAAAGTCATTATAGCACTGCAAAGCAGTCAAGGTTCTTTGACTTTCCCTGTGTTCTTAATGTGGCATAGCTTGACCAGAAAAGAAAGCATATTCTATCTTCTCTGAAGTTTGGTCCCTTCTGTCTTAGGAAATAACTATTACTCTTGGTTTCTTTTAGATGCTGAGCCTCATTCCTTTTGTTCAGCTGCCCCCTAGTGACTCTGTTTGTGAAGAGTATGGCCTGAGCTGTGTGGATACTCTGCATAGTCTGTTCTAGTAAGTAGATCAGACACTGCCAGGAAAACAACTCAACAGTTTGCCCGAGGGTGTTGCTTGTTTGCTTGCTTGTTTATTTGAGTAGTGGCTTCAAGACTGGAAATCATTATGTACTGGTAAGAAATAATTTATTTAAAAAGACTCAGTTATTTAATGTATCTGGTACATTTAAGAGGGTTTTCTGTTGAATTACTCTACTTCACTTAGAATACCTTCTGAATTATTCTATGTATAATGTTTGACCTTTGGGGGACCTCTAAAAGGTTGTGCAAGCATCTTTATGTTTAGTGTGTGAAAAATAGACACGTCTATAAACAGGATTGACTCCATGAAAATTCATATTGCTTATTCACTTATTTTTGGTTTTCCTAGAATTGTAAAGCTGGGCATTCATATCTTTATGTGAAGGTATTTTACTTATGGAGATGTAAATATCCCTGGGAGTGGATTTTGTAATGTTTGAGAGATAAAAGGTTTTTTTATTTTATTCTAGAGAATGATATAGTGCATCCTCTCTCTCTCTCTCTCTCTCTCTCTCTCTCTCTCTCTCTCTCTGAAAAAGTGTGTGTGTGTGTGTGTGTGTGTGTGTACGTGTGTGTAGGTGAAGGGTCCAATTTTTAGTGTCATCATTCAGGTGCTATGTACCTTGCTGTTTGAAACAAGGTCTCTTACTGGCCTGGGACTTGCAAAATAGGCTAGACTGCCTGGCCACTGAGCCACCTGTCTCCCACTCTCCAGGATTGGGATCACAAGTATGCATTAGTGATGCCTGGATTTTTTTTCACAATGATTCTGGGGGTGGAACTCGGGATATGTATGCATGGCAAGCACTTTACTGAATGAACTATCAACTCAACCTGACAGCAGATTTTAGAAGGGAAGGAGATGCGTGTACTAGTTCTATTAATGTATATTTTGCCCTTATGACTTATTATCATCTCCCAGTATCCCCATATCCTAGCAAAGATTGTGAATACCAGTGGTTACACTGCACTGACAAGCTGGTGGGGACAAAGTAAAGATCCAGAGAATGTGTTTGAAACAAGACCCACTCCTGATGTGGAGGCTTAGAGTTTATTTGGAAGGTGAAAGGAAAGCTAAGAGAAGTCAGTCTTGAACCCTCACAGTACCCAAGGTGGTTTTTGACTATAGGAAAATGAGGGCATTTCAGTATTTGGGCTCTTTCTAATATCATCAGAATGGAACAACAGATGTGTATGAACATAAATAGGGATGCTCATTGGCAGGTCACCAGGTGTTCTATTCTTACTCGATTTTTTAAGAATGTGCTTGGTGCTAAGCTGGGCATGGTGGCACACACCTGTAATCTTAGCATTCAGGAGTCTGAGGCAGGAGGATCATGAAATTGAATCCAGCATGAACTACATGGTGAGACCCTGTCTCAAAAAGGGGGAAAAAAGTGCCCTGTGTGGTTCTAATCTCTTGTGTTCTGGAATCTACCATTCCTATTTTACCGTTGACAGCATTTCAGGCTTCATCTCACACTGTACTCATGGCGTTGGAAGAAGCTCAACAGACAGGCAGTTTTTCTTCATCAATCAGCGGCCTTGTGACCCAGTAAAGGTATTTTAATTTTGTTGTTGATTGTTTTGAGATCAGAGTTCTTGTAGACTGGACAGACTTCAAACTAACTGTGTAGCCAAGGTTGGCCTTAAACATGTGAACCTCCTGCTTTTACCTCCTGAGGGTTAGGATTTCAGGAGGTAAACCCATGGCTTCATATGTGCTAGGCAAGTACTTTACCAACTGAGCTATCTCCCCCAGCTTCTCATGACTTGGAACTTGGAACTGACTCAGAAACATGCCTTTAAATTTATTTTACACATTCAAGAAAGTCAGTACTTGGGTGCTAGAGAGATGGCTCAGTGGTTAAGAGTACATACCACTCTTGCATAGGGCCTGAGTTCAGTTCCCAGCACCCACATTTGGTGACTAACAACTGCCTGTAACTTGAGTTCCAGAGGATCTGGCACCTCTGGACTCTGGGCACCTGAACTCATGTGCACATACCCACACAGAGACACACACACATATACGTATAGTATTAATCTTTTCTTTAAAAAGAAAGTATATAATTGTTTCAGTTGTATGTGGTTTTGTATAGATGTATAGAAATACATATTATTAGCATATTATAAAAATTATCACTACTGGAAGAAAGTAAACATTCTAAAACATTCATTGTCGTCTAGACTTTATTACAGACTGACCACATCCATTTGCTTCTCTCTTCCTTTTGTCAATTTTACAGGAAAATAGGGGTCCAGATTAGCTCTGCTGACCTGATAATCTTGACATGGTTATGAGATTTTAGTGGCTTGATGCTGACCAGTGCACCCTCCATACAAGGTGCCTCAATGATAACTTCTGTCTTCCAATGGCACGTTAAAATTCATTTGTATTATACTAAATGTGGCCCAACTTCTACATTTTTAAGTCTATACTAGTATGATTTTTGAGATTTATCTCTAATGCCATTTAATAATTGCATTTTCAGTATCATATAAATAAGCACCTAAGTATAAAACTTTCTGAATATTAAATTACACCCGTATTCTGTCTATCTACCTATGTCCCTGCCTACCTAATTCTCAGTCTTCCTACCTGAGCCTCCAAAGCTCTGGGACTATATGTGTGTACCTCCATACTGTCCTGAAATCTCTTGAGGAACATCTTTAGATTGGAAAGATTCAGCTTTAGGATTCTGTGGTTTAAATATCCCTTTAGGCTACTGTGCTGGTTCTTGTCTGGGGAAATTGACACAAAAGATCAAGAGTTTGATGCTAGCCTGAGCTATATAGTGAGACCCTGGAACAAACCAGTGTCTTCAAGAAACATGAGAAAACCTTTTCAATAATGTATATATTTATTATTTTGATTGGAGAATAGCTTCACAAGTGTATGTGTGTGTGTGTATGTGTGTACGCACATGTGTGTACGTATTTACATATTGAGACATCAAATTGTAGGGGGGTTTTTTGTTTGCTCAGTAATAGGGATTGAACCCAGGTGCTTGGGAACTATTCTGTTACTGAGCTATCTCTCCAGTACCTCCTACCCAATCCCTGCCACAGGGTTTCACTAAATTACCCTGGTTGGTATTGAACTTAATCAGTAGCCCAAGCTGCCTTGAACTTCCTGCCTTAGCCTCTTGAGTACCTGGGATTTCAGGCCTGTATGATAAGGCTTGAATAAATTGTATACTTTAAATATATACAGTTCATTGCATATTAGTTATCTTAATAAAGCCGTATAAGGAGCCGGAAATATTCCTCAGTTAATAGAGTGCTTGCCTAGCATGTGCAAAGCCCTGTTCAATCTCTAATATTGCATTAAACTACATACAGTGGTGCACACCTATAATCCCAACATGCACAAGGTGGAGGCAGGAGGGTCAGAAGTCCGTGGTCATCTTCAATAAGGTTAATCTGGGCTACATGAAGCCCTATGTCCAAAAATAAATGCTTTAAAGAAGCATAAACCTAATAAGGCTTAATAAAAAGACCTCTTTGGTGATAGGTTAGAATAGCATGTTAGAACAGTGAGGGCAAAGAATGTTTATTCTTTTCTTATCTTTGTTTCTTGAACAGGTCTCTAGACTCGTAAATGAAGTCTATCACATATATAATCGGCATCAGTATCCCTTTGTTGTTCTTAACATTTCTGTTGATTCAGGTAAGTTCCATTGAAATTTCATTAAAATTGTTGGCTTACTCCTAAAAGAATAAAATGAAATTATAAAGCTCTGATATGACTGAATAGAGAATAACTGATAAGATATAATTTTACTTTTTATACTGACTTTCCTGCATTCTCTTTGAAACAATGTTAACTGTATTATTAGGAAACAAAAGAGAAAGTATACTTAGGTATTCTGCTTGATTTTGAAAAGAATTATTTTCATTAGATATTTTTCTTTTCTGATTATCAAATTCTGGTGTATTTCCATCCATGTTTTCTAAAACTTAGAAATATATATGTGCCTACCTTGAAATACACATATACAGATACACACACATGTATGCATGCATATAACCTTTGTGGAAGAAAATATTTTCTATCCTTATCTTTAGATATGAGCATTATGTAATATGTTATCATTAAATATATTTTTCTATATGTGTGTGTACATGTGTGTTTGTGAATACAAATGTGTGTACATGCACATGTGTGTGTGTTCAGAGGAAAGAGGATAACTTTGGGTGTTGCTACTCAGGCACAGTCCACTTCTTTTGAGACAGGTCTCACTGGCCTGGGGCTTGCTGGTTTGGCTAGACTGGCTGACCAGTGATCCCTAGGTATTTCCATTTCCCTGCCTCCCCAGCACTGGAATTACAAGAGTTCAGCACCATGCCTGGCTTCTTTTGTTGGATTTTGGGGATCAAATTCAGGTCCTCATACTTATGCACAAGTACTTTATTGACTGAGTCATCTCCCCAGTCCTTTTTAAGTTTTAAGTTAGCATTACAAAGTGTTAGTGGGTTTCACTGTGTCATTTTCATACACAAATAGCATTATATTTTGTTCTTATTTGTTCTGTCTCCCCCATAAAGTTCTGGGGAGAGGCATGTACATGTACAGTGTGAGTGTGGAGGTCAGAAGCCAACTTTTGGTGGGTGGCTCTCTCCTTCCACCTGGTTTTAAGGCAGTCTCTCTTGTTTCTTCTGCTGTACTACATGCTCCAGGCAAGCTAACCTGCAGTCTTCAGCTATGTAGCAGGTCTGAGGCCCTGTCTCAAACAAACAAAACAGAACAATAAGAATATAATTTTTTTAAAGATAAATTTTTTTCTTTCCTTATTTAAAAAGATAATTTTATGGACTAGGGAGATGGTTCAGTTGGAAAAGTGCTTGATGTGCAAGCAATGAGGCTCTGAGTTCAGATCCCTAGCATCAGTGTGGAAAGCTGGAATTGGCAGCACACACCTAGGATCCCAGTGCTGAGAGGCGGCAATAGGAGGATACTGCGGCTTGCCCACCGGCCAGTCTAGCGAAATTGGTGAGCACCACCTTCAGTGAGAGACTGTCTCAAAAATAAGGTAGGGAAGCAATTGAGGAAGACACCAGATGTCCACCTGTGACCTGTACACACACACACACACACGTGTGTGTACACATGCAGACACACATACACCAAAAAAGGTAATTTTATACTGTATGAATATTAATTTGGACACCATTATTAATATTAATTGTGACAGTGTTTTTAGTACTTTGGGCAAAAATAAATGAATGAAATCTGTATTGCTAAAAGTGAATTTAACCGTGTGTATTCTCTGCCTTAGAATGTGTTGATATAAATGTGACTCCAGATAAAAGGCAAATTTTTCTACAAGAGGAGAAGCTTTTGTTGGCAGTTTTAAAGACCTCTTTGATAGGAATGTTTGACAGTGATGAAAACAAATTTAATATAAACCAACAACCACTGCTGGATATTGGAGGTAAGAAAAATGCAGTGATGTAACACCTAAAATTTCTAGCCACTGTGATACTTACCTTTTTTTCTTCAAGATGACTTTTGTTGTGAAATAGAATCTTTTAGATAAAGAAATGGCACTGTAGGAAGTATGTTAGAGGTTGAACGTGATGGTGCACATTTTTAATCCCAATACTCAGGAGGCAGAGGCAGGTAGATCTCTGTAAGTTCCAGACCAGCCTGCTGTATGTACATGATGAGTTCCAGGACACCTAGGGGTACAGAGTAAGACCCTGTCTCAAAAAAATAAAAAGTATGTTAGGTACAGTCTAAGGTACTCTCTTTAAAAAGAGATATCTGTCTTTAGAAAATATTTTTAATAGATTTTTTTTTTAATTTCTCAAAGAAGGTGGAAGGCAAGGATTGTCACCTGAGATTGTCCTCTGACCTCCACATACATGCCATTTCATGTGTGCACATGGGTGCACGCATTCTCACACAAACATAAAAAAATGTATGTGATGGGGCTGGAGAGATGGCTCAGCAGTTAAGAGCATTGGCTGCTCTTATAGAGGACCCAGGTTCAAGTCCCAGCACCCACATGGCAGCTAACAACTGTCTGCTATTCTAGTTCCAGGAGACACAGTGCCCTCTTCTGGCCTTCACCGACATGGCATGCACAGGTGCTCTTAATATGTGTAGGCAAAACACTTATACACATTAAACAATAGTAATAATAAATTAATTTTTAAAAAATTTAGATATTTGAAGTCCAGGTGTGATAGCACATGCCTGTGAACCCAGCCACTTGAGAGTTGAGTCAGGAGTATCTCCTACAATTTCAAGGACAACTTGGTCTACATAATGAGTTCCAGGATAACTAGGGCTGCATGACAGCTCTTGTCTCGAAAAAAAGAGAGAGCACGGAAGGAAAAGAAAGAGATTGATTAATTGAGGAAGGAGTTGACCACATTGAGCACTTGGAAGGATATTTAGTGATGTCATTCTTTGGCCATAATGGTCACTCTGGTTTTTCTAATTGTAAACAGATGACATAAGATGTACAACGAGGGCCTAGTATGGTGGCACACACCTTTTATCCCAGCACTTGGGAAACAGCAGTGGTGAGATCACCATCAACCTGGTCTGCGTAGCACCAGGCAAACCGGGGCTAAACAGAGACTTTGTCTCCAAACAAAACAAAAGGGTGTACAACAAGGCAGTTGGAGAGATGGCTCAGTGGTTAAGAGTACTTGCTGCTCTTACAGAGGACCCAGGTTCAGGACCCAGCACTTGTAATCAGGCAGCTCACAACCATCTGTAAGTGTAGCTTCAGGGGATCTGACACCATCATCAGATGCCTCCACAGACACCTGCACACACGGTGTACATACAGGCAAGCGGGCGCACATCCATACACAAAAACAAAAATAAAATGAAAAGAAGATTTACAACAAGCAGAAGCCCGTAGTTACTGTGCAAGCTGACTCCTTATTTCTACAGACATACACCACTGCATCCAGCTTTTTTTTTTTATTTTTAAAAATGATTTATTTAATAACAACATACTTAGAAGAAGCATATCATTACAACACAGTTGACATATTCAATAACGTTTTCCTGAGGTAGGATGCATCTCTTTCAAATTTGGCTGTAAATTTTTAGGTTTACAGTTGAATTATTACAGTTATACAATATTGTACTCAGTATAAACCCTATAAGA